TCTGTAGATGTTCATTGAAATGAAAAATAAACAAACTAAATTAATAAAAAAAGTAAAATTAAAAAAATAAATAAAAAATATACTATTGGTGCTTGTTCAATAAAAAAATAAAGAGTGAAATGAGAGGATCAGTTCCTTTGTGCACTGCCAGATAGGATCACACCTCGATCATGAGCCCTCTGAGAACAGGCGTCTGGTCTTCTCTACTGATGCTGTGCGGGTCAGTGTCAAAGGACCTGAAGACACTAGTGTTAGAAACAGACTATCAACAAGGAAACAAAACTAGGCTATGCCAGTTAGGGAGACATGCCCTGAAGAAAACAAGTAGAAAATGGAGAATAAAGGAGCCAAAGGTCTGTTACGTTTCATGAGGGTTAAGCAAGATTCTTTACCACACAGGCCTCCAGCAGAGTGCCCGTCATATCATAATATCAGTGTAAGGATTAGCAGGTCAGTGGTATACATCTCTAACTCTTCATGCATTTTTTTAAACTTAGTATGTATTCCTGTGTCACTCCAAAGAGGTTTTAAGACCACTCAGCACCTAGCATATACTAAAAACTCACCACTTTCTCATCAATTCCAACTCGTAGTGACCCTCCGAGGCTGTAAATCTTAACGGGAGTTGACTGCCCGTCTTCCTCCCACAGACCAGCTGGTGGATTCTGCCCACCAGCACAAGATGCTCAGTGAAACCCTAGGAGCATGATTCTGCTCTGACACACGTGGGTCACCGTGAGTCAGAGTCAGCTCCAGGAAACGTATTTGAAATGTTCCTTTCCTTCTCCTTCCTCCTCCCTTAAGAACAGCCTCTTCTGCCTCCTGCTAAAGATGTTGCAGTATCTTATTAAGCCAACACTTAGCTCAGCTGATAGTGAGGCAGGATGCTGACACAGGGGCCATGGGGCAGTGAGCTTTGACATCAGAGCTCGGGGCTTCAGCAGGTGGAGCTCTACCTTCTGTGCCGACCACCTGGGGAAGTGTCATTCTGCAAGCCTGAGTGGTTCGTTCTGTTTGCCCAGGGCAAGGCCGTGCTTTCTCACAAGCGTACTGCGCGCCTTCTGCCCCACGCTCTCCTTCTGGAGGGCTTCCTCTTCCTCTCTCCCAGGAGCATCTGGGGAACTGTTCCCACAGAGTCCTGCAGAGCAGGGCAGGTGGGGGGTGAAGGAAAGAGCGAGGACGTCATACCAGTTCTTGTTTGACTCATGTCCAGCTCTGAGCTAAGTGCCTTTCATCCACTTTCAGGCTGAAGGACCAGAGCTTGGGCTTGACCCAAGCCTAGTGGCCAGATGCTCCATCTATAAAGATATACTTTGCTTAAAATGGTGTGTTTTATCTTTTGTTTAGTTTATCACAATAAAAAATTTCTAGTCAATTCATTAGAGAAAGTCTATGAATTACATAAATAAGAATTAAATAAGACTTAAAACTGTAGCAGCAACCAAAGTTGTGATACTCTTTAGCTTCCTGTCATTTCCATGGTGTAAGATTTACCCAAAAGTATTCCGCACAGACGAGGTTCCCAAGGAATTCACAAAAAGTCCCCAAAACCCTCTGATGGTCTTCTTGTATCAGACGCATCTCTGACTCCCCCATCTCTCCAGAAAGCGCTACAGGTCTGGAAAGAAACAAAGGTCAGTTTTTCTCTTCTGGGTGGCTGGCCCTCCTCAGCGGTTTTGTGACCACAGCACGTCAGCCCTCCTGAGATTGTAATCCAAGGAAATGAGATCACCCCTGGTTGGATCAACATCCCTTCAACCCCAGCCTGTGGTTATCAGTGACATAAGACGCTTATTCTGGCTGGGCACGGTGGGGAGGAGGCATGTTTGTGTGTGCTTGGGACAGGCTGGTAATTATACTTGGGAAACGGCCCCACAGGGTGTACTGAGGCTCTGTGGTTCCAGGAGAGCAACTCCCTCCTCAGAGAACGTGGCCGCAGAACATTCCGACCTCTGACAGTCTGACTCTGCCTCCTCCTCATAATTATTAACCTAAGATTTACAACAATAGACTGTAGTAGCTAGAACTCTCCACTGGTGGATTGTAGGCTAATACAACTTTCTATACTTTCCAGTTATGATTTCACTGAAATACAGTCAGCCTTTGAGCATAATGCTTATAATGACCGTCTCACATAATCAGCCTTGAAGGAGATGAGACTGCCTGCCCTTCTTTACAGTGAGGGGAACTAGAGGCTTTTGATGCATGACCAGAATCACACAAGGTCAGTTAAGTGGTTTGAGGCAGAGTCTAAACCAGGTCAGACTGACCCCAGAACTGAGACTCAGCACTGCTGCCCCTTCAACCCACCTTGTCCTGCCCAGAACGTTTCTGAGC